GGGCTTTTGGAATCTCTGGGTACTTTACTGTATTGTCAGCGTACGTGCAGCATCCAGACATGTGTTTGATTTTCTGAAGAATTACATGTGCATTTTGCTTCTATCGACATTCTGAGACTTCCTCACTGTTGTGGCTGGCGCCGGACATCCAGCGATATATGGATTCCCATGAGCTGGAGGAATGTCAGATCAAGGTTCGATCCTTCGGTGCCACCACAGAGAAAGGTCTTCAATTCAGAGGATCTTGGCAGGGCATAGGCTACATAGCCGATTTGGAGATGGGACTCAGGGCCTGCACGAATGGAAGGGCGACAGAGAAGCTCACAAAGAAATGTGGCAAGTCACTGGGCAGTAACTGCCATGTCATCTTGTACTGTTGCCGCGAATGTCTTTTTCTTTTTCTTGTCAGATCAGGTGGACGGCTGGCAATGTTGATGCCCTTTCAAAGTCAGCCGCGTACCCGCCTCTCCTTGGAGATGCGTTCATGCTGACTTGGTGGCACTTGTCTGGCGAGTCTGGCATGTGTGACATGGCCTTCAGACATCATGTTCAGGCACATGTGCTTTCACAGCTTCCGCCTCTTGGGCAAGATCCTGTGCCTGACACTCGCAGGCACAGGAGTTGTCGTGGAATTCCTCCTGCTCGTTTTTCCTGGCCTTGCAAATTCTTTGTTGATGTGTTATCTTAGGAATCCGAATATGACAAGGTTGCTGCCCACGGTCCTGATCCAGGATGGCCTGGTATGACTCTCCTCCCGGAGCAAGAAGCGCAGTGTCTTATTTCGGACTATGCTAGGCCTCACGTTGTGGAAATAGACTCTTCCTCATCCGATGATGCCCTGCGTGAGCGTTCCGGACCATGTGATGCAGATAGCGACTCTTCGCATGGATGCAGGGTCTCTTTCCTTTCTCAGGAGTTTGATTTCCCACGGTCACTTCATGACATGACAGATGACGAGCTTTAGGGCTTCTGATCTGTTTCTTGCAGCTTCTAATTTGTAATCGACGATCGGATGCTGCTGATGCTGTAGAGCCATCAAAAAGGATGTGTCATCTGACAGTGTGCTCCTCTGTGTCTCATGTCTCGTTTATTTCTGTTTCACTGCAACAGAAACAATGTTATGGCTTCCAGGGACTAGCTTTTACAGTGCAGAGTGTGCCGACTCCAACATGGGGAAAGTGAAGAAGGGCGACAAGCCAGAGAAGTCTTCGGTCAAAGCGGCCAAAGCTTCCAAGAGTAGTCGGAAGGATCTCAAGGAAAAAATGAAGAAAGCCTCCAAGAAGGATAAGCGGACACGTGACAGCTCTGCATCTGAGAGCACTTCTTCCAGTGGATCCGACAGCCAGCCGGATGAGGATGTTAAGGCTATGGAGGCCACAGCGCTGGCCTTTGGGTTGCTCCTTTGTGGCATTGTGTGCTGAGTTATCACTGCTGTGTGCTTCTGCTTCCCATGCACTCGTAGCTCATTTTGTAATAAGGAAGGCCACGAAACTGAACATCAACACGAAGAGACAGATCCACCTTCGGGACTTGTCAGCTGGACAGCTTGCAACAGCTATTTCTGGAGTCCTGCCGTCCTTAACTCCTATGGCGCTCATGAGGGTTGGAGGAGAGCTGCTGCAGGTTTCGCTGCGGCACTGTTTTTTTTTTGGGGGGTTTTTCTTGCTTTTTTTTTTTTGCTACGTACGTCTGCGACATCTTAATCTGTCAGGTTCGCAAGAAGCTCACTCTTCAGACTAAGCAGCACGCCGCGGGGCAGAAGGACGATCTCAACACCCGTATGGAGTTTGTCAAGAAGGAGACGGCCTCTGAGGAGATGTGGAAGACGAGATTGTTGCAGCTCATGATGGCAGGCCTTTATGCCACGTTGTCCATGTCTTTCCTGCGCATGCTGCTCAGAAGTCATTCCCCCCATTATTAAACGCCCACCCCGCCCCTGAGGTAAATACTCCTGTCCGTATTTAAGAGTACGGGGATGTATTTATCGTACGACCAGAACGTTAGGGGGGTACGTTACACCTTATACGGGGCTTTATTAAGGGCTATTTCAAATTAGGGCCTTATCAGGTACTACTTCAAATTAGGACCTTACTACGGAGTATTTCGAATTAAGGTCTTATTAGGGATAACTTGAAGTCAGGCCCTTAGTCGTGGCTTTTGAAATAAGGACTATCTCAAATTAGGGCCTTACTAGCGACCATGTCATTTTAGGACGTTATCAGGGAAGATGTCATTTTCGGGCAAGAGCAGGGAATATGTCAAAGTAAGGCCTTTTCAGGGAATATTATGGAATGTTTCTGGGGCCATTAGGGATTATCTCAAACTAGGGGGCCTCATCAGGGGCCATTTCAAATTATGGCCTTTTAGTGACTATATCAAATTAGGACCGTATCAGCGACTATTTCAAATTAGGGTCTTATT